TGAACTCAGTCGCCCATACACCTAGTTGTGTATGTTATTGCTCTCCTGCATATTTTTCAATCCAATCAAAATTACAATATGACTTAACCATTTCACTTGAACGCAGCACCCAAACACATCTACTTATACAAAAACACTCCACTTTTGTCTCCAAAAGACCTACATTCATGTTCAGACACTAGCATAAATGGAGAGCTAACAGAATGCATTGCCTCTCTCCAAAACTCTTTGTAGCTTTGACTTCCAACACCATTCAAAATTCCAGCTTCAAAATGTCCACAGAGACTCAAAGAAAATTCTTAGCTGAGAGTTGCCATGAAAATAAAACAAAATAGGGCTGGAAAGGTGGCTCAGTGGTAGAGTACTTGACTTGCATGCATGAGGCCCTGAGTTCAATTCCTCAGCACCACATAAGTAGAAAAAGCTAGAAGTGGGCACTGTGGCTCAAGTGGTAGAGTGATAGTTTGAGCTGAAATGCTGAGGGACCGTGCCCAGGCTGAGTTCAGGCCCCATTACCAACAAAAAAAAGTAAATGTATTTTTTTTAAAAAAAGAAAAACCAATTATATGCCAAGTATAAAGGCACATGCCTTTAATTAAAGCTACTCAGAGTGAAGACAGTAGGATCACAATTCTAGGGAAGCCTGAGTAAAAGCACTAGACCCTATGTGAAAAAAAAAAAAACTAGGATGGTCCAGTTTTAAGTGGTAGAGTGTTTACTAGGACAGTATGAAGCTTTGGTCCAATAAAGAAGAGGAAGTGAGGAAGAGAAGAAGAAGAGGAAACAAAGAGGTGGAGTAAGAAGAAGGAAGAAGAGGAAGAGGAAAAAAAGGAAGTATAGAAAGAGCAACAATGAGGAGAAAGAAGAGAAAGGAAGAAGAGGAAAAGGTTGACAGAGAGGATGAGGAGCACCATATCTTCAATATATAATAACATGGTGTAAACATTCCTATTCCAAAACAAAAGAATTGGAGAAAAAGGGAAAAAATGGATCAGTAACCCAATTAATTGATCAAGAATTTGATTTGAAATTTCTTAATCGAACAATGTGTAAACAGACAAAAGCATTAGCACCTGTAAAATCACTTATAAAATAGAAATGAGATGTCATTTCATACTCACCAGAATGGGTAAAAGATGTGCATTAGAAGGTTTGACAAGGATGTAAAGAAATTGAAGCTCTCATACATTGTAAAATAGCACATTCATCTTGGAAATTAGTGTAAAAGTTCCTCACAAAGTTAGTTACAAAAATACCAAACAGCCTAGAAACTTTGTACAGCCTAGAAACTTTGTCTATAATTTTTATACACTTAAGTATAAAACAGCAATATTATCCATGACAGCCAAAGAACTGAAAAAAAAATTCACGCTGACCAATAGGAAAACAGTTCACAAAACATTTTATCCTCATGAAATAGCCCATTATCAAGTAAAAAAGAGAAATAGAGAATTGATATTAGTGGAAACACTGACAACAGACTAGATGGAAAGAAACAGACACAAAATAACACATAAAATGATTTGATTTTAATGAAATTTTGAATTATCAAAATCAGGCATGACATTAGTTTCTTTGGGGTTGGAAGTCTAAGGAGAATTCAGAATAGCTGCAGACAGGTATGAGATTTCTTTATGAATGATGAATATTTGAGAATATTCCAAGGTGATGAAGATTGAATACACTTTCAGAATTCAAAGAATCCCTAAATTTTATAGAATTAATTTAACAAATATAACATTGTTCAATTACACATAAAATGATTTTTCAAAGGGATACTAGATCATCTTTAACCAGCAAAAGTGTTCTACCATGAAAGTAGACATATAATATAGCAAAGTGGTAGAAAGCAGGAGCAAGTAAAAAAAAATCAATGCATATGCTACAAAATTAAGAAAAATCAGAGAATAAGTGTTTGGGAGAGATGAATGGAAATGTTAAAAATGGATTAAAGTGATCAAGATGCATTGTATTCACAAACTACTTTAATGAATGGCAGCTCCTTTCTTCAACTATTCAAATAAAATATTTTAAAAACTAGCAAAAAATAATTAATTAAACAAAAATAAATAATGAATAGATAAATAAAATACAATAAAAAATATAGATCTATAACAATATAGGCCAGAAATTTAAAACACAAACAAGAATAAAGTAGTTTTGTTGGTGCTTCTAGATATATAAGGTAGAAAATTTTGACTACATCTAATTTATTGAGTTCTTTTGTCAATGGCATTAATTATGCCAGTAGTAAAAATAATCATGAAGTTCTGAAATGAGCAACACAGTATCTAGGATATTACTAATTACTAATGCAAAGATAGATGCAAAGAAAGATAATGCAAAGAAAGATGGAATAGTATATGTTTGTATGATTAGATAAAATGTCAGAATGATGTCTGAATGTAACATAGATATCACAGAAATAAACAGTAGAAATTTAAATGTATAAGCCAGGGTATTACAACATGATTACAGCAAGTGATTTATCTTTTTTTTCTGGAAATGAGAGAAAAATAAAAGCAACAGTGCACAGTACAACAGTCAAAAACTACCAAAAGTGGTCAAAGTGACAAATACTACTTTTAATCCTATAATAGGAAGGTGAAGTCACCCTAAAAATCACGTGTGGGAAGATAAACCAAGACTGCACTGAATTCTCTATACTCACATTTATACAGTGAAACATGACCACACAAACATTCTTTTAATAAACTCAGCACCACCTTATGTTTATTAACACCTGCCAATGGTTTTCTAAATTGAAAAACTGGACCAACATCATTGCATTGTTATAGATTAATTTAGTGTTAAATAAATTGGTTTGCAGAGTTTAAGCAAATGGTATGAATTCAACAGTACAGTACCAGAACTGTATACAACATACCATTTTTTAGCTTATTTTTGGAATATGATCTTGTGTTTATGCTTAGGCTTTCCTGGATTGAGATCTTCCTATCAAAGCTTTGTACATAGCTGAGATGACAGACAGATGCCAACTTGACTAGCTATTGGATGAGATGTGATCATTGTTAAGTCTACATGGAACCTACCCCCTACGCCCATCTCCTTCACCAGTCTGAACCCAGTAATCACCTGAATGTCCATCACCTAACTGTGTGTCAGAAAAGGATCCCTGGATCTGAGATTACTTCCTCCAATTCTATTTTCTATTGTGACTTACCCATTTTAATTTTTTTTCTGAAATAGTCCAGGGGCTTAAACTAAGGATCTATGCACTCTCCTGAGCTTTATGTTGGATCAAAAGGCTAATAAACACCATATATGACTAAGCTTATATTAAAATGAAATGGTAAATTAATATATATAAGATAAACTGATAAGAGAACCTACTAATGCTCGTGTGTGTGTGTGTGTGTGTGTGTGTGTGTGTGTGTGTGTTTTATAAGAGCACACTGTTAATACTCTATTCACTATAAACATTAGAAAATTATCTAGGATGATATTTTTAGGGTAGTAAGTTCTGTAGAATCGATGACATAAGCTTCCACATTCCAGGATCTTGAAAGTGTTCTGTTCTTGTTTGTTGAACCATGAGCTTTGAAAGCAAACCCTCCTATATCTGAATTGCCAACAGGGAAGTAGCAGTCTAACACTACATACATATCATTGAATCAGAAGGTAATAGTTTTTTTCATAATCAATAAGATAATTACAGAAGGGATGAACACACAACAATTAAGTATCTAGAGTGAAAGGGAAACAAAAAAGTAAGCTTTTTTTTTTTTGGAGGGGCATCCGGTCGTGAGGCCTGAAATCTGATCCTGGGTGCTGTTCCTCAGCTCTTCAGCTCAAGGCTAGTACCTACCACTTGAGCCATAGCACCACTTATGGCTTTTTTTCTGCTTATGTGGTGCTGAGGAATCAAACCCAGGGCCTCATGCATGCAAGGGAATGCTCTACCACTGAGCCACTTTCCCAGCACCAAAAGTAAGCATTTTTTTAACTCCATATGATAATTTCACAGGGGATGAAAGAACTACAGTTAAGTATCCAAAAAGAGCCATCACAGCTGCACAGCATCCTGTTATATTGTCACAATTGGTATCTCTTGTTAACTTCTCAGTATGCCTAATATATAAATTAAGCTTTGCCATAGTTATTATTGTGAATCTCTTAGCCTACCATAGTATTCTGTTCATTTGTAGACCCCCAAAAGATGACTTACTTCTTCTATTTAAAGACATGCCTTCAGCTTTAGTGTTCAACCATGCATTTTCAGTCTTCTCCATTATTAACAGCTCTTTCTCTGAGTATACGTTTTTTTCCCCCCTTGTTTAGGAAATGATACTGAAAGTTAAAGAATCCAATCTAATAGAAAGTGTAAACACCCCTATGCTCGAGGAGAGAGGTGTTTGTTTTTTTTCCTCCCAGGATGGATAACAGGACCTATTAATAAAAAGGCTGCTCTAGAACTTTGTGTCACTGAAACTAGTACTGCTTTTTTGTTCTAGCTGTTTCTGGGGCTTGAACTTAGGGCATGAGCCCTGTTCTTGTGGGATTTTTTTTCTTCTACCACGTAACCACAACTCCACTTTGGTGGTTAATTGGAGATAAGAGTCGCTTGGATTTTTCTCTTCGTCCTGGCTATGCATTATCCTCAGAACTCAGCCTGCTGATTAGCAAGGATTACTGGTAAAACAACAGTGCCCACTGCTTTAAGTGTTGTTTTTTATTGTTATTCTGAGCTCCAACTCCTTTCAGGGTGAAAAGTAGTCACTGGGGATTCAGTTTTGCATGGGTTTATTTGTATAGCAATTTTTAAATATTTATTTGCTCTCTTGTTACATTGTTGCTACTTTATCTTATCTTCATTTAGTATTGGTTTCTACATTTTACATTTTATTATTACCAACATATTTCATGAAAAAATGGGATTACTGCACCGAGAAATTCAAATTAGTACAGTATTAGTGGTTTGCCTCATTTGAGAAAGGTTCTCTGCCATAGAGTTCCTAACCCATAGAGAGTCTCTTCACTTAGGACACCAGGCTACCACTGAAAAAATGGGGCCTGACAGGAAATTGGACAGCACCAGTGGGGTATCTCCAGATAAGGGAACTCTTAGCCACATTCCAAAAACTCACATTGCCATCGTCAAGATTAAGAAACACACCAACCCGGCCCAGAGGCTTCTCTACATAGTGAGGCAGCAGTGGGGATGTGGTAAAAATGGTGGAAAGTGTATTCTCTTTCACAAACAAAAGGAGGAAAAGATCCTGAGATTCAGTGAGGTTGCTCCCTATGGAGGAATCCCTAATAACTCCCAGGGCCCAGGTGGAAGAGTCATCCACACTAACCTCCCAGTAATGTTTCCCAGAGCTGAAGACTTGGTGTCCAAAAGCAGTAAAGTGGAAGGACTCTTCAGAATTCAAAACTGCATAGGGATTGTCGTGTCCAACACAACTCCCAAGATCTTGATTCTCTGTAGCGTCATTGAAGGCAATCTCCACCCGGTGCTGGGTGAGCCTCTCTATCAGTCCAGGAATGGGAGGGCCACTGAGCTCTGGCCTCAGAGGAAGAGGCAGGAAGAACAAGACTGACTCACAGCTTTCTAGGATCAACTCTACATCCTGAAGCAGTTCCACATCTGGCTTCTGGTATGTTTTGATCAGCTCCTGATACATATTCCTGAGCTGATGCTTCTTCTGAAGCATTTGGGTTTCCCTTTCTCTGAGTTGCAGTAACATGGCTCTTTCTTCATTGATCAGTAGCTGGGAATGGTGTCTTTCCTCCTCCTGGTCACCCAGCTCTAAAAACAGCACTCTAAAAACATCCTTAGTTATGCCTCGGGATAGCTTCACATACCAAATCCATCGGTTGATGAGTCTCCTATTCTCCTGTAAATTGTGCTGGTTTTCTTGAGTCTTTTCCCATACAGCATGCATCTGCTTTGAAATCATCTCCCTCTGCTCCTCAGCAGCCCTATCTATGGGATGGTGTTTGTGAGCCCTGTGCTCCTGAGACTGGGAGCAGCTCCTACAGAGCAGGGCCCTGTCTACCTCACAGAACATCTGCTTTGTCTCCCTGTGTGTCCCACACATGTATTCCTCAGAGCTCAGAAAATGCCTGAGGCTGGCTCTTCTGGCAATGGCCACCAGGCTCCTCAGAACCACGTTGGTTTTGAGGTCTCTCTGCTGGCAGGGTCCCCTGCACACAGGGCACCTGGCTGGAATCTGGGTCTCTTCCCAGCTGAGGCAGAGACAAGGTCGACAAAAACTGTGCCCGCACTCTAAGGTGACTGGCTCTATAAAAGTATTTATACAGATGGCACATCTCAATTCCTTCTGGAAGGCCTGGGCAGTGTCAGGGTCCATCATTCCTAGAATCTAATGAGGTGCTGGTGGCTCACCCATAGAAGCCTAGCTACTCAAGAGGTTGAGAGCTAAGGATCAAGCTTTGAAACCGCCTCGGCCACAAAAGTCCCCCTGACACAGATTCTTATCTCCAATTAACCACTCCAAAATCACAAGTGGGCTGTGGCTCAAGTGCTAAAAGCACTAGCTTTGACCACAAAGTGGCCCAGGGACAATGCCCAGTCTTGAGCACAAAGTGACCCAGCAACACTGCCCTACCACTGGGTTCAATCCCTGCAACCGACAAAACAATACCACTACCAACACCACCAAACCAAGGAGAGAAGAATTAAAAGAGGAGTAGATTCTCTCACTCTAATCCTCACCTGGAGTATCCAAGCTCCAAATGGCCTCCAGCCTGCTGATGTAGGATCTTCAGCAATGCCTGAGTCTCAGAATTCCACTCTATTTATACTGAAAGAGGGTGGGCCCAGGAAAGGAAGTCTCTGATTGGTTGCTTAGGGAAGCTGATTTACATATCAATAGGAGTTGGAATTTACATCCTGTCCACCACACCTTTCACTTCCTCTTTCAAGGACCTACTTCTTACAATTTGGTTAGGTTATTTGGGTTAGGTGCAACGTAGGTTTGTCCAGGATTGGAAAAGTTTATTGTGTTTGTTTTATTTTGTTTTGTTTTGTTTTTTAATTCTGTGTATGTTTTATAATGGAACTGTGCGTTTATTACTTTTCCACAGGACTGTAGGCCATATTACTGACATTATCCACTGTATCTTATGGGTCTTCAAAAGTAGCTGAGTTCATATTCCTTAACAGGTTATCATCCTATACTTTTTTTATTTGTAATTTGTCAGGCCTGATGTTGGGCTGGTACTTTACCACTTAAGCCTTGTCCTCTCTGTGTTTGCTTTTGTTTTTGGAATAGAAACTTGTGTTTATTCTTAGACTCTTCTGGACTGAGTTCTTCCAATTCACACTTTGCTCAAAGCTGAGATGACAAGAATTATCTCTTGCTTGAGTTGTGATCAGGATTAAATCTGCCCACAGACTAGCCCCTCCCAGCTTTCCCATCACCTGCCTGAATCATACCAGTAATCACCTGACTGTCGTTGATCACCTGACTATGAGTGAACAAAGATCCTAGGCTCAGAGATCATTTCCTCTTGTCTATTGTCTATACTGACTCATCCTTGCGATGTTGTTGTTCTTGTTGTTTGTCTGTCAGTGCTGGACTTGAACTCAGGGTAGAGGATCTGTCCCTGAGCTCTTCTTCCACTCTATTTCTCTTATCTTTATTTCAAATATCATTTATGCCTTTTTATTATAAAATGATGTGGTATTCTGATATATAATTTAATAACTCAATGCCGTTATTGAGAATGATCTAAAAAATTATCATAGACATAAATATACATATATATACATATATCTATATACATTGACTTTCAAGAGCACATTATTAATATTCAATTTGCTATAAATTTTATCCTATCAGAATATTCTCTTTAGGGTTATAGATTCTGTAGTGTCCCTGTCATAACCTTTCCCATTTGTGGTTTTGTGACTATAATCAATCTTGTACATTTCTTGCTGTTGATCCATTAGCTTTAATAGCATAATCCCCTATCTGAATTGCCAGCAGAGAAATAGTAGCCTAACACTATGTTTGCATCTTTGACTCTCAGGCATTGACTCTCAGTCTTTTTTAAAATTTTTCTCTTTAAAAAAATTTTTGTCATTAGTGCTGCAGAACTCTGGGTCTGTGGGAAACCTCAGCTCTTCAGCTCAAGGTGAGCCCTCTACCACTTAAGCCACAGCACCACTTCCAGCTTTCTAGTGGTTTATTGGAGATGAGTGTCTACGACTTTCCTGCCCGGGCCAGATTTGAACTGAGATCTCAGAGCTGTTTCCTGAGTAGCTAGGATTACAGGGGTGCACCACTGGTGCTGGCTAAGCATTATGTTTTATCTTCATATGATAATGACAGCAGGGATGAATGCACAATAATTGGGTATATAGAGTGAAAAACGGACACCAAGAAAGAACCATCACAACTGGACAGCAAACTGTTGTATTGTTACAATTGTTGACTATTGTTAACCACTCAGTATGCCTAATGGATAATTTGAGCTTTGCCATTGTTATTATTAATCTCTTAGCCTGAATTAATGTTCTCCTCATTTTTACCCCAAAAATTATGACTTATTTATTCTGAAGCCATTCTTTCATCTTTAGTGTTCAACCCTGCATTTTCTTTCTTCTCCATTATTACCAGCTATTTCTCTAACTATTCCAATTTATTTTATTTTATTTTATTTTTAGGAATTAGTATTGAAACTTAAAGAATCCAATCTAATAGAAAGTTTAACACCCCAATGGTCTAGTATAGAGGTGTTTCTGTTTTTTTCTTCCCAGGATCTAGTAATCAAAAGTCTGCTCTAGAACTTTGTGTCACTGAAACCAGTACTGCTTTTTTGTTCTCGAAATTACTGGGGCTTGAAGTTAGGGCATGAGCACTATTTGTGAGGGTTTGTTGTTGTTGTTGTTGTTTTTGCTTTTTTTTTCTTCTACGACTTGGACCACAGCTCCACTTTGGTGGTTAATTGAAGATGAGTCTTTTGGACTTTCCTATATGAACTGGCTATGAACTGCCATCCTTAGCAGCCTGAGTAGCAAGGATTACTGGGAAAACAACAATGCCCACTGAATTAAATGTTTTTTTTTTGTTTTGTTTTGTTTTTTGCTGTTATTCTGAGATCCACCTTCTTTCATGGTGAAAAGCACCTTCTTTCATTGGGGACTGCTATTTTCATGAGTTTATTTTTATGGCAATTTTTAAATATTTCTGGTGCTGTTGTTGCATTGTTGCTACTTTATCTTACCTTCATTTTTTACATGTTATGTTTTATTATATGTTACCTCCATATTTCATAACAAAATGGGATTACTGTGCATAAAATTCAAATTAGTAAATTATTAATGGTTTGCTTCATTTGAAAAAGGTTCTCTGCTATAGAGTTCCCAACGTATAGAATCTTCACTAATAGTGGTTTATCATTGGAGAAAAAGGGTCTGCCAGGAAGTTGGAAATAGCCAATGGCGTATCTCCGGAGAAGGGAACTCTTAACCACATTCCAAAAACTCACACTGCCATTGTCAAGATAAAGAAACACCACAACCCCAAGAGACTTCTCTATATAATGTGTCAGCAATGGGGAGGTGTTAAAAAAAAAAAGTGTAAAGAAAGTTCCCTTTCACAAAAAGAGGAGGAATAGGCCCTCTGATTCAGGGCAGTGGGCCAAGGAAAGGGTATATACCTGAGTTCTCATATAGGGAAGTTGATTTACATATCATCTGGAGTTGGAATTTCCATCCTGGAAAACACACCTTTAACTTCCTCTTTCATGGAAATGCCTCTTACAATTTTCTTAGACAGTGACAAGTGTTTATTTTGGCTAGGTGAAAGTTAAATTTGAACAGGATTGGAAAACCGTTTTTTTTTTTTCTTACCTTTTTGAATCTTTTATTTTTGTACTATGAATTAATTACTTTTCCACCAGAATGTAGGTGACTTTTTATCTTGTGGTTTTGAAAATTAGCTGAGCTTTCATTGTGGATATATTAGATGATCATCCAAGTTTTTTATTTGTAAATTGTCATGCCTCCTGCTTGTCTGGTGCTTCACCACTTGAGCCATTTCAATCTTTTTATTCTCATTGGACTTCTAATCTCATAAAAAATACTGTATTAATTTTCTATTGGTAATGTAGTTCCCCAATTTTAATTTATGCAAGAATTCTGAACTGATTTAAAACATGAAGGACATTTTAAAGTAATTCTTTAAAAAGCTATGAATATGGAGCTGTATATAATTCATTACTTTTGATTAATTTTTCACACCTCAGTTGTAGAGTATGCTCAAAGGTGATTTTTACACTAATATTTTTCTTTGAGGAATTTTTTTAGTTAAGAATATTTTAGAGATATTATTGTTAGTTCAGCTATTTTTCTCCTTCATAAGGAATGTGATTTTAAGTTAATACACAGAAAATCTAAGACAGATGATACATTTGGCATTTAGATCAATTTGTGTAATTACTTTTTTATTTAAATACTGAATAGTTGTTTCTGAATTTTCAATTTATTACCTAAGTCAAAGGTATATCATTACACTTGCAGAATCTAATCCACTGTACAAAGTTAAGTAACATATTAGTTTGAATTTTATTTTTTTGTTCAACAATAATATTCAAGAGGTATGATTTCAGTAGGTTTCACTGAAAAATTATTAAGATATACCATATCTATAGATATTTCATAATTCTATATTCTTATTTTTGGATTACATTTCTGTAATCCATGTGTCTGTACTCCAATTGTGTTAGACTTCCAATTATTCATCTCACATCTTTGCTTTGTTCCAGGATTTCAGCATTAATGTTTTCTTGTTTTCCGTGGTTTTTATTATTTTTTCATCTCACTATCACCATTGTAACTTTTTAACATACAAAAAAGAAAATTCACTATTGCCCAGCTCAGCATTCCTTACATTTTCAAAAACCGAGTGACGCTAGTGACATACAACATACATCAAGAAATTACTGATATAATGTATACAATACAGTAATATCAAAATATTGCATAAAAATGTAAAAAATGTAATGTTATGAAATTAAAATACACTATTATTAAACTGTGACATCAAACATTTTCTATTATTATCATAATATAATAATATAAAACCCTGCCATCACTCTCCAACTTCCTTTGTAAAGCATTTACACTTTGTGGAAACCTACATCTGAGCCCCTTTCCTGGTAATGAATGGACTGTTAAATGTCTCTAGAATTTGGGTCAGTTCCCAGAAGCCTCTGGTATGTTTGGCTCCCACCCTGTCTCACTCATTATAATTAGGCCTGAGAGTATGCCACCTGATCCTCTTGCGACAAAGTAAGTTAGAAGACAAGAGCCCCGTTCCCCAGCTGGAAGCCTCCAGGTCTT